AGGGAGGGGAAAAATGAGCTGATACCAAGGGCTCAAGTAGAAAGCGAATATTTTGAGAATGATGAGGGCAACAAATGTGCTTGACACAATAGATATATGTATGGATTGTGATAAGAGTTGTATGAGCCCCCAATAAAATGATTTTTTTTAATGTGCTCGGAAAACCTGGCTTATACTTGAGTATATATGGTAGGTTTTTTAGCAGCTGCCGTGAATGCTTGTGCAGTGAGCATTGGCATACATTACTATTAACAGTTTAATGTATTTGTTCATCAAAAATTTTTTTTTTTCTTAAGTCCTCAAAGACCATATTTTGTAATCGGTAAGCATTAAATAGTGATACTGAATTGTCGACTAGAATATTTGTTAGGTGGCAAATCGCCCTATGTTGAAATCATAGACTAGCTTGCCCCATGGAGTAAATAATACTAAGCAAAAACTGAAGCAGGGAAGAAATAGATTGAAGATTTACTACCTAAGGCCATGTTAGTCCTAGGTATTTTGACTCGGTTCCTAATGAATTACTTCCAGGGAGGAGCCCGAGCATTGAGCTGCTGACTGATGCAGGAGCAACAGCTGAGGGAGAAAGATGCTCCCTTAAGTTAAAATCTCAGAAAACCCGAGGGCCAATTGTTCCTCGCTCCCCTAGGGTCACTCTGAGTTGGAATCTACTTGATGTCAGTGAATTTGGTTTTTGTTAGTTTTTTTCCTAGAGTGCTAATAACAAGCTATATTCTGAGAAGCTTCGTGAACTGATTGGACCCAATGAAGGTAATTTAGGCTCCTGGAGTACTATTAAAAGTTCATAGGAATGAGAAGTGAGAGATAATGGAAATTTCCCGTTGTACAATGCAAGCCAGATGTAATTTAAAATTTTATAATCATCACAGTTAATTGTATATTAATTGTAATGTATCATTTAACTTAGAATATAAAAACACTTCATTTATCCATTTCAAAATCATTGGTATTTCTATTTTTCTCATGCTGAGTCTTTAAAGTCTGGTATATTTTACAGTATGCGTCAGTTCAGACAAGCCACATTTCAAGTGTCCAGTAGCTAGTGCCGATTACATTGTATATAATAACGTCAAAGTATGGGACCTAAAGTTGGGGAGGGAACTTCTAAAGTTTATGGAAGATGAATTAAGAGCTATCAGTAATAGAGATTTGTCATGAATTTTTTTTAAATCATTTTATTGAACCATGAACTTTTTGAAGTACCTTCATATATTAAAAGATTCAGTGTTTTAACAATACTTTTGGATAGAGATGTGTTTTTTTTTTTAAAAAACAACAAAATTGGCACATACTGAGAATTCTTTCATTACATGAGTCAGGATTTCTCATCTAGAGCGCTGTGGGCATTAAGTGGTACAGACTATTCATGTATTGCAATGCTTAGCATCTGTTGGCCCAGGACTTAACCCCAACCATTCTCCACTCTGAAAGTTCCTACCCCTCAGTGTTCCTAAAGGGGAGTGGTATCACACTGACTCTAGAGCTAAGAGAACTGAACCATTAATTAGAAAAAGATCACATAACTATTAAAGGCTGGGACAACAAGCAGTATGGTATTGAGCAGGGTCCTCAAACTTTTAAACAGGGGACCAGTTCACTGTCCCTCAGACCTGTTGGAGGGTTGGACAATAGTTAAAAAAACAACAACTATGAACAAATTCCTATGCACACTGCACATATCTTATTTTGATGTAAAAAAACAAACGGGCCAGATAAATGTCCTCAGTGGGCCGCAATTGAGGACCCCTGGTGTTGAGAGTTCTTGGGCCCTAAAGACCAGCCTTTTAATCACCTTACACAGTGCTTAAAAAATGGGTTTGCATAATTCATTGGGTAGTCCTCCCTTTAAGAGTTGTGGTGTGTGTGTGTATATGAAATCATCTCGTACTACTCATGAAGCAGAATTTTAAAAGCTTTTTGAATAGCTGTATTGAAGTATCATTTACATTCTATAAAATTCATTCACTGACTTTTGTACATTGAAAGTGTATGTATTTACAAATTTATGGTGGTGTGCAACCACCCCACAACCGGTTTGGGGACCAGTTCCTTGTTGTCAGGTGCTGCCCCGTCTATTGGGACTCGCACAAAAGAGTCGTGCACTGCCTGGTCCTGCGCCATCTCACAGTCATTGTTACTGTTTGAACCCATTGTTGCAGGCACTGTGAGGGTCTTCCTCTTTTTCATTGATTGTGTACCAAACGGGATGTCCTCCTCCAGGGACTGCTTCTGCCTGAAAACATGTCCAAAGTATGTGAGACAAATCTCACCATTTCAACTCTTCATTTTGTTTCTTTGTTCCTTTTTTACGTTTTTACATTTTATATAATTGGTATCAGGTAATACATAGACTTTTCCATATTGACTCTTTCACATGGCATAATAATTTTTGAGGTTTTTAAATGTTGCCTAAATCAATATTTTGTTTGTACTACTGAATAGTATTCCATTGTATGGACATATACCATCTTTTGTATAGACATTTTCCACTTAGCCATTTGACTGGTTTCTGTTTACAGTTGTACGTATAAACAGTTGTGTACAGGACTTCGTGTGGACATGTATCTTCATTTTTCTTGTAGATTTTCAGGATAAAAATGATCTCCTATAAGCATAAGATTTCTGTCCCTTTTTTGTCATTTTGGCTTTAAATGAGGGGTTGGATTTTTTTTTCTTTTTCCCTCCATTCCTTTGCATTTTTCTCCTTTTTATCTATCGATCTAATCTATCTATTAATTTATTTTCTCCATTCTTCTTGCCCAGGGAACACAATACTTGGGAACCCGAGAAAAACCTTGATTGCCCTGAACTAATATCTGAGTTTATGAAAAAGTATAAGAAGATGAAGGAGGGTGAAAATAACAAACCCAGGGAGAAGTCAGAAAGTAACAAGAGGAAATCCAATTTCTCAAACAATACTGATGAAATCAAATCAAAAAAAAAGAGAGAGGTAAGCTCCCTTTCCCTGGGGTTTTTTGTTTTTTTGTTTTTTTGCTTTGTTTTGTTTCCATGAACTACTCTGCAAAAGAAAAGCCTCATTCTGGTTATCTGGGTTCTGCAGGGAAAATTGTTGAACAAAGAATTTTCTGGGTAGCATCTTGATTGAACTACAATGCCCCCTTCTGGCCAAATCAGAAATGTAGTTTTTGACCGGTGAATTCTATTCAGATTAAATTAAATTTCAATAAAACACCAGACTGTTCTCTGCCTTCTTAAACGCAAGACTTTGTTATCGTACAGAGGGGGCTAGAAAGAAGTTTGAAATGTCGAACACTTTCTTTTTCTTTTGTTGAAAGATGGCAGTGTTCTTTTGGGGGGGAGGTAAAAATCCTATCGCGGTGATTTTAAAGTTCACAGGCATTTATAGCCTTTTTACCCTGTTTCTACATGATTCCAATAAGAAGCTTTTCCCTTTAGGTTTTTATTGTTCAGTTTGTGAAATGTGTTCATGAAATGTTGGCTTGATGATGTTGCTTTACTCTTGATCTTCCGCCCTCAGGTAGCTAGTGCTAGCGCCTCTTTGTGCTTGTGTGTGTCCACATGCATACATGGACACACAGCACCCAGCTTTCCATCCTTTCATTTATTTCAAGGTCATGGAACCTTTTGTGTAGGTTGTGAAGGGTGTAACATACCCTTCACGTTTAATAAAATGAACATGTAAGTCCACTTCTGAATTTAAAAAAAAAAATCTGCTAACATCATCGCTGCAAAGCACTGCTATTTGTTTGCATTCTGTTTGGATACCCTTCATTCTAGAGCAATAGTTTTCAACCCTGGCTGCACATCAGAATCGCCTGGAGACTTTAAATCAAGTGTCCACGATGCACCCCGAGACGAGTTATAATAACACAACCATTTCCTTTTGTAGTAAAGGGCAAGTGAGGCCTTTGTATTTATATTTCTAATTGGTCTAGCAAGGATTTTCTTGGATTGCTGGGATTATCTTTAAAAAGGCTTAAACAAACCAAAAAAAGGCTTAAACAAGTGGTTTCCTGGTTCCCTTTGGAACGAAACTGAAGGCCAGTTTTCTGAAAAGAATCGAGGCGAGAATAAGGTTGGAAACTGCAAGTGAAAGGGCAGTTTAGGTGTGTCCTTACTTGTCTCCCTGCTTGCCTTCTTCAAGCCTCGTGTCTGAGAGCGCCCTATGCCGGCCTGTTCTGAGTGTCAGGACATGCTGTACTCCTCCAAGAAGCAGAGACTTGATTCTTTTTTTCAGTTCTTTGATTAGTTCACTAGCTCAGGAACAAGACTTCTGGCTAGCCATTGGCGGCACAGTGTATATTTTCTAGGCTTTCTGTCTTTATAAGAAGGAGCAATCTAGTTCAAGTCATTGGCCAGAGACAGGAGTTCTGTCCTTAGACCAGGTTTCAGTGCTGCCGACCTTGAAACAACCCCCACACATCCCTTACATCGGAATGTTCATCTGGGGCCCTTGGCAGCATTCTCCACTGTCTGGCAGCAGGCAGGCAGGCAGCTGGGAAGATAAGGTGGTTGTATGTTTTAAAGGTACAGAAGGGGATTACGTTTTTTTCTGTATACCATTGTAGATGAAATTTGTATGTCGGCATTCTGCCTGATTTAACATTACTGCCTGTGTGATGATTTTAGCATTTTCCTTGCCTCGGCTCCTTTTCGGCAGCTTGAACATTTTTCTTTCGTTCTCCCTCCCTCCCCTCCCTATGTGGCAAACTGTTTTCAGCCGCCAGCTATGATTTACGACTTAGTCCATGTGCCAGCATTCCAGCTGCGAGCAGCTGTGTGCACATCTGGGAACCTCTTCCCTCTTGAGCGCCCCCAAAAGAGGCTGTGTTTTTTAGAGTCAGTATTCCACCCCCCACCCCCCCCTTGATCCATACGTGGAATTTCCTTCTCAATATGGGTTCTGGTATCTTTGGAGACCACCCGGCCCCTGAATGCTTTGTATCTCTGAGGAAAGCAAGGTGAATATTAGATCAAAGAGGTTTTATTATGAAGATCAGATTTGAGTAGGTTGCTTACTTTCTGTGTTGGCATGTTTTTTAACTATCTGATTTGTAAACTAGCCGTTTCGTTCTCGCCAGCGTCGATTATATTTAAACCAAGTTCTAGTAATCTTCTCAGGATTCATGAGCTTGCTTTTTTAATCTCTGCCCAGTTCTGCCTTCTGATGCTAAGAAGTCATCCACTTCAGAAGATACACACAAGCCAGACTTTTTTTTAAAAACCAAGTGCAGTGCATAGGAGTTGGTGTATCTACTATCTGAAATTTGTTGTTTTGTACTGTTTACTTTGAATCATCTGAACCTTTGTTCTTGCATAAGTACCAACGACTGTGTGACAAGATAAATTAAAAATACTGATCAGTGGCAAGGTAAACTGAAAGTCTAAGATATGAATTGAAATATTTGAATTTTATAAGATAAAAAAGGGTCTCAGGAACGTGGACTTGTTTATCTCGAATGCTAAAACTACTGGGTCAACCTAAAATTTGGAGACAATTCGAGCTGAGATTAAAGAAAGTTCTGGATGATGACTCAGTATCTTAAGTGATATGAGAAAGTTTTAGGGTTTGCAACTAATTTTTTGAAGGAATACTTGGAAGAGCAGCCATGTCTTTTTTTATTTTTATTTTTTATTTCTCACCATACTTCTTTTTAAAAAAACAAAACATTTTATTAGGGGCTCATACAACTGTTATCCCAATCCATACACACATCAATTGTGTAAAGCGCATTTGTACATCGTTTCTCAAAACATTTTCTCTCCACCCAAACCCCCGATATTAGGTCCTCATTTTTCCCCTACCTCCCTGCTCCCCCCTCCCTCAACAGCCCTTGATAGTTTATAAATGGGTATTTTGTCATATCTTGCCCTGTCCGACGTCTCCCTTCACCCACTTTTCAGTTGTCTGTCCCCCAGGGAGGAGGTCACACACAGTTCCATGTAATCGGTTCCCTCTTGAGCAGCCATATCTTGAAATATCTCTTGGCATCACATACTGGCTGCCCCGCTGTTGTATTTCTAAGTGTTTTTCTGAATTGATGACAAAAATGGTGTCAGGTGGCATTAACTTAGGTTGTGCTTTGTTGAACTGAGAAACGGAGGATTTTTACTCGCTCTCTCTCTGGTGCTCTCGCTCTCGCTCTCTCTCTGTGTTTCTACCAAGCCATAACATTTCTCCATCTTCTGTTTATAGCAGAGCAATGACATCGCCCGGGGCTTTGAGAGAGGACTGGAGCCAGAGAAGATCATTGGGGCAACAGATTCCTGTGGCGATTTAATGTTCCTAATGAAATGGTGAGAGATTCTGGGGCCTTACTTCACAGTGGTGTTTCTTTGCCAGGGACTTGAATCTGTATGGAAGAATGGGTGGCAAAATGGAATCTTCCCAAACTAAAAATTTCAGTATATAAGGATCCTTAGTCAATAACAGCCACCAATTTTAAATGAGAATTATGATTCAGAATGGATTTGAAGGATGAAACCAAATTATATTTTAGGAGCCTACTTACCAGGAAAAGTTAGAACCGAGGTAGGAAAGATATAAACATGACCTGACTGTTTGTTTCCAGAGTTCTGAATCATTTACTGTCAGACCATGAGCTTGTGGCCATGTGGCAGGGATGCATAGGCTTTTCTCACTGTTGCCAAAGGCTAGACCACTGAATACTGTTGGGAAGAGAACCATAATCTCAGTAAAAAGCACTATGGCCAGCACTGACCGGAGCATAGTTGTTTCATCCGGCAGCACGGACAGCTCTTAGAGGAAGTGGACTCCTTCCCTCAGTGTGGTTTTTAAAGACAGGATGATTTATGGTGTGGCCCTTGCTACCTCTCCGGTTTCCAAGTGTTCTGGGCTTTTGATTTAGTCTCTAACGAGAGGGCTCAGGCTGCAGTGCCACTAAGGAAGCTAATTACTTGAAAACTGGTATTGTCAAAAGGTTATGTTTCATCTGAGTGAAATGCTGCTGGTCATTTACCCTGTGGGCTGTATGAAAGATCACTGCACAGTCAGGAGTGAGGAGCTGTAGAGACCTGCTTTCCCTGTGTAAGTAAGCCATCTGTGGTACTTCGGGTTATATTCCCTCGTAACCAGCTTTGTCCACCACAACCAACTTAGAGTCGTTCCTCTGTGCTGCTGGTGCGTTTCCTCCTCTTTGCACTCATAACGTGGTGAGTTAAATATCTCTCTCTTCTATAGAAAAGGAGGGCGTTCTCTTTTGTCTGCAGTTAAGAATTTCAGTTAACTTTTAATTTTGAAACATAGTTAAGGAAATGTTGCTAGGTTTTTGCTGTTAGTGGAGTCTGAAGTTCTTGTGAATCCTCTTAAATTTGCCAGATAATTTCTTCATTTTAATGACTAGAATTTACGTTTTTCTTTACTCTTTTAATCCACAGTTCTGACCAGAGCAAGGGTCTAAAAGCCAGCCCACAAGGTGCCAAAGGTTAGGACCTCTTCACCTAGGTCAGGGGTCGGCAAACTTCCGAGAGCCAGTCCTGTCCTTCCGAACAGTTTAAAAACTATTCAAGAGCCATAGATATATTTTTACAAATATGGAGCACTTAAAGTAATATAAGTGAAAGTAGGGTAGCTCTATTTTTATTTCCAATTTTATGTCAGAGCCACACATGGATTGAGAGGCGGTTTGACAACCCCTGACCTAGATGATCCCCCAAATAGATTAATTAGCTTATACAGAAGTCGTGGGTGACTGTAGGTTTGATGGTGTGTTCACGCACATGCTCACAAGAGGAAAAGGGGAGCAGAAAGAATGCAGGTTTTTTGACTGAGCTTACCCTGCTTGGTTTTCTCACTTCTAACCGAAGCTTCCTGCTCCTGTCCGAAGTCGTCGTCAAATGATCACAGTGAATAATTGACATCTTTTTCTTAAATTTCTCCTTGACAATATTGACATGCTATGGGTCCTTTTCACCGTGAAACGAAACAAGAGGAAATTACTTACACTAACCCCGTGCAGTGGAATGACCCTGAACCTCTGTCTTCTTTCTCTGCAGGAAAGACACAGATGAAGCTGACCTGGTTCTTGCCAAAGAAGCTAATGTGAAATGCCCACAGATAGTGATAGCGTTTTATGAAGAGAGACTGACGTGGCACGCATACCCCGAGGATGCGGAAAACAAAGAGAAAGAAACCGCAAGGAGCTAAAGGAAGGGGGGTGGTCTCTGACATTTCTCTTTGTATATAATACACTCACCTCCCTGCCTCTTCTCCCTTCTCCCACCCCTCTTATCCTGAACACATCCATAAAAAATGTGCTTATCACTGTGCTCCACAGGAGAAATGTCGGTATTGGTTCTCTTGTAACATACCTGATAGTCTGTTTCATGATAAGTGTCTCTGTGAAGACCAGGCATTTGCATACTGTGTGTAATTCCCGATCTTTTCCTTGGCCCAGATCGCTTCCTTCTGCTCTCCTGTGACCTCAAGATAAGTTTTAACTTTTTTAATCACCTTAGAATTGGCCACTTTTAGATAGGGGGATTTTGTTACAAGGATGATGAGTTTCGGTTTCTTGCTTTGGATGTAGAACACGTTTATGACTGGCTGGCCTTTGTGTAGAGGTGGTGGGATGGAAAGGACGCTGCCCATCTTTTTAAAAAGCCAAAAGCAACTGCCTACCTTTAGGGGCTTTCCAGTCTCCTTCAACCCTACCCAGGAGAATCCAGGGTTCCTGACGTGGTCTTCTGGGCCGCCCTCTGTTGTTCATTCTCCCCTCACCTCCCAGACGTACCGCCCCTCGAGGACTGGGGGGATGTGCAGTAGACTTTGCTGAGGCACTGCTGTGCTTCTGCTTCTGCAAAGGTGATGTCAGTCTGCCATGAGATGGCAAGGTTATTAACGGAGTTCGCTGCGGTCGACAAGAAAGCTGGGGTAGGAGTCGGATGTACTTGTCTTTAGTATCACATATGTTGTAGATGTATGCTTTCCTTCCAGCCCTCGTTTTTGGAATATATATGTGTGTCTGTAGGTTGGAGTGACTGCCTGGTGCTTGCTGGTGCCAAGGTGCTAGGCACCCTCTAACTCTGCCAACTTTGTGGCCTCCCACAGCATTCCTTTTACCAAAGAGGCTTTAAACTGGACTCTTAGTCCTCAGTGGACCCGAAGTTGCCCCCTTGTGCCATTCTGTTTAATGGGGATTTCTTGGAGGAGGAGCCCTTGACCACACAGTATCAGTTTTCAATACTCATAGTGTTTGTCCCCCTCTTCGTTGACCCCTGTCTGTGCTACCCGGAGTCCCCATGGTGTGAATGGTCTTCCTTTCTTCGGTTGGACCTCACTCTTTATTTCACATGCACCGCCATGGAAGACAACCACCTCAGCACGTGACAGGCCCAACCGTCTTTCCCTTCTCCACAAAAGACTTCCTTTTTAAGATTTCTCTTGCCACTATAATGAAGTTATTTTCTGAGCAGACCCTTCTACTTGTGTTGCCCTCCTCCGCCATGAAACAGCCTCCTTTGCTGTACCTTTCTTGTAGGCGAAGAGGGCTAGCGCATCAGAACTATAAGTCAAGATGTAGTAGGATTTTGAGCATCTGTGTCCCAGCCCCAAGGCTGAGGAAATAAAAATGAATGCTTGCAATAGCCTTAACTCTAGAGTGCACCAGCCACTACGGCTGGTTTTGTTGTTGCATTTGATTTTTAAAACATAACTGGCCAGGAGCGTTCAACCATTTCCGGATTATTCAGAGTAATGAGGGGAATGGATGGATTGCTACAGTCCACAGATGAGCCAAATAATATGCAAATCATAATCCCATTCATAGCATTTGTTAACATTGTTTTCCTGCTCGGCTGCTGGTTGAATTCTGTATGCTGTATGAATTGTCAGAAATTGTACTGCACAGATCAGACAGCTGTTGCTGTGGCGATGGGACAGCCGGGATGGCAGGGCTTTGGGTTTGCGGTATCTCAGGAAGTCTTTTTATGGTGGTTTGACTGGGTGAGAGCTCCTAGCCCATGGGGTGGGGAGGTGGGGTTTCTCTTCGTCTTCCTTTTCTTCTTGAAAGGACTCAAGCCTAACTCAAGTGCTGGATAATTGACAGTTGTTAGAGTTGATCTGATAAGGCATCTTTTAAAAAAGGAGGGAAGCAGGCTCAGCATATGCGCAACCAAGGGTATCGATTAGGGTAGATGAGACAAAGACAAAAGTAGGCCAGAGCTCTGAGGAGGGGATCTGAGCTACTCGGTTTGCAGTTAGAGACAATGGCAGTCTATCCGTGGAGGCATTGTGTACCTCCCAGTAGCGGTGGCTTATGGGCTGCAATGACCGTATTTTTCACACCCAGCCCTGGCACGTACAGGAAAAACCGCAATCTTGGGGCCCGAGATCAGTCCAGGGAAGTCTGGGGCATATGGACTGCCATGGCTCTGGGTAATACAGAACCCGGTTTTCTTTAGCAAAATCATGCTGTGTCATCATCTACTCATCACCCACTGCTCTGACACCTTCCTCTTAACTCCGTCTTCTTCCTGCCCTTGGCTTGTTGAATCATGGCCTTGTACTGAGTGTCTCCAAGCAACTTTGGTTCTCTCCATGTCTTCTCCCAACCGGCCCTGTGGGACTGCAGAGCCAGAGGCCACTGCTGACGGCAGCCCTCAGCAGATGGATGTGTGCCCGTGCCTCTGGCATTTGTTCCTGTGCTGCTCCTTCAGCACGCAGAAGTCTAGATGAGCCTTCGCCTCTTAGCCGGGTCCACTTTCTGGACCTCTTGCATCGCTTGGGCAGACAGCTTGCTGCCTTTAATGCTGTGTGGGAGCCGCTCTTATACCCAAGCCAAGTGTAGGACCTTGGGTAAAAAGGTGTGGGGGGGTTTCTGTCTGTTCGTTTTGTTGGCTTGACCCAACTCCCCTAAGTACATTAAGGACCTGGTGTTGGCCTGAGAAGTGGTTGCTCCTCTGCCTGGTAGGGTTGGAAGTTGAGTGCCTACAATGCCACTTTGCCATGGCAGGAGGACTCGAGGAGGGATTAGATGATGGGATTGTAAATGGAGAAAATGTTTTCCTGAAATCAGCTCGAGAGGAAAGTTCACAATTACGCCCTCATCCCTTTGGTTTGGATCTGTTAGAGGAGAAATTAGAGTGATAATTTATTATCTGACCTGCTGGCATACCTGTGGCAATGCAAAGAAAGGAAGGGTTCATCCTCAGTGTATTCCATTTCCTGAGACCCTAACCCACTAATCATAAAAATTGTATTTATAAAAATAGATAGGTTGCCAGTTTTCATACCCAACCCCCCGGGCTTATGTTTTCATTTAGGCATGTTCTGCACCTCTACCCCCCTATAGTGGAAGAGCTGCACGGAACTGGCCAAGGTGTGCTATATTAGTTTATATCAGCGTTCATTTCTTCAATCAAGTATATTTTGGCTCCAGTGGAGTGCCAAAGTCTAAAAAGACACATCACCCCTTCCCTTTCCCAAGAACGGTTTGCTAGCTGGGGATGAGCCGACTGAGAGCAGTTCAGTCTGATGGGTGCTGCACATGGGCCCCCTCTGATGCGAGAGAGCAGAGACAACTAACGCCTGATGCCACCAGAGAGGCTTGTTACTGGTTCATTGGGGGGAAGGAAGGCTTGTGACCTTCGATGAACTAACTGGTCAGAGACCAGAGCAAGGGTTTATTTATTATGTTCCAGGAAATTAAGATAAAGGGCTAGTTTGAAATGCTCTTATTACTGATACAAGAACAAAGGGGGTCAGGGGGGCTGTGAGAACTTCTGATTGCTGCGCTTGTCTTAGATGCCTTGCCAAAGTAGCTAATGATACGGTTAATGCTTGTGGAGAGTGTTCGTTTTGCAGATCCAGTGGAGTACATTATTGTGGGTTCTGTATTGGTTGCTTTTTATTAGACTTCTCATCTGTTTTTGGAGAAATTAACACGAGGCCGGCTTTAAGTCCAAAAACAGGGACATACTTTTCAATGGCAAAATTGATTAAAACGGTCATTTGGGCACATCCCTTAACTTAAAGCTGAAGGTTTTTCCTGCTCAGATGTCCTAAGAGGAAAGTCCGTGGTGCTGACACGGGGGACCACAGGAGAGCCATCTCTGCCTGAATGAATAGAACACTAAGTTTGGAGATCAGAGCCTCAGATGAGCGCTTCTGGAAAGTATTAAGCTTCTTCGGACAGCTTCATGAAAAAGGCAAAACATTTCTAGTTTCTCTTTGTGCTGTTTCTTGAATTTTATTCTACCTCATCTTGTCTGTTTAGGTTGCTCCAACTTCTGTCTTTGTCATTTTAACATCATGCTTGACTTTGGGGGGTTGCTAAGAGGGCATGTTCCCCATCTGTGGCAGCATGTTCTCTTGCGTTGATCCTCCTTCCACCTAACACCATCTCACATTGCTCCTCTGTCAGAAATGCTTCGGGCCATTAGAAATGCAGGTGTGTGGGAAGAAAGTGCTCCTCCAACGCTTCCTGTCTTGGAGGTCAGTCTGAGAAGGGGTTAAAACAAGGTGGTGAGGGCGGAGATGATCGGCATCAAAGGAACCTGCACTGGAGGCAGCCTACAAGGGAAGAGCCATTAATTAAGACAATTTCAAAGTCAACTGATTGTGATCATTAATGTCACAATAGATCAAAACCTAATTATCACAGCCTAGGTAAGAGCCATCAGTATTAATCGGAAAATCTAATAGGAAACTATTATCAAGAAATTAGGCCAGATTGAATCCAATGAACTTTTTATCTTGTCATTCTCTTTTTGTGTGATGTCCCCTGGGATTGGTGGGCGTGACCTAAGCATTGATTCAGCCCAAGTGGCCTATTTATCACACTTTTTAAGGATTTTTGCCTACTCCAAACAGACTGCACCTGAACTGTCGTTGTCATGTTAGCCATCCGTCTTGAACTTTCTTAACCACCTGGGCTTGGTCAGTGTGATGAGCAAAGGAAATATATATTGGGGTCTTGGGCTATGTGGTCTTGCTGCGGCTGGAGCACCCGGGGTGCTGCTGTGTGTGTGCATGCATTGCTGAGCTTTGGCTTGTGTGGACACGGCAGGCAGGAGGAGGAGCTTCTTGCCTTCCTGGTGAAGACTCGGGAAGCTGTCAGTGTCACAAAGCTCAAGTCAGTGTGTTACAGTTAGGGCTTGATTCTAAACTGTGTCTGGGGACGGCTGAGTTCCCCTTCCACCATGGTTTCAGGATAAGGGACGTAATAATTCCTACCAAGAGAAATCCACAGCAGGGAGACCCGAGTTACTACTTCTTGTGTTTAAAAAAAAAGAAATCTCTGGCAGGGGGAAAGATAATCACAAATCTAATTGTAGAGAGAGATTGATTCCCTCCCTCATCAGAAAGCAGAGGTCACCATTTATAGCCTTTATTTTTAGCTGACACTCTTGAACCTGGAGTTGAGGCAGAAAGGGGAGCAATGCTTCTTGAAGGGTGTTAGGGGATGGATAGGAAGCAGCGGAAGGGTGTTTGCAGATGGAGTGTGAAGCCCCTCGCTTACCCTGCAGAGAACGCTGCTGCAGCAGCAGCGGCCACTGCTGCCCTTTCCCACCACGCCTCCCCCGCACCGCCACCCAGGTCATGGTTCTTTTTGGAGTCCAGCTTGAGGGGGTCTTGCTTCATTTTAGATTGTAGGATTTGAGTTATTCAGTACAGAACCTTTTCTTGAAATGACAGCCCTTCACCTCTTAGGAGAGGTTTCAAAGAATATCTAGTATATGACTTTTTGAAATAAAAGGGGAGGTCCCATTAAGAGTGAAGGTAAGATATTTCTTTGCAAAAGAATTCACATCATGGTTCCTGTGATTAGATAATGTTTTTTATGCTTAAAATGTAATGTTCTTTTTTTTAATCCTTTAACATAAGACTTTCAGAAGCATTTTGTTTCTCCAAGGTTGTTCTCTTTGTACTAGTTGGGTAATAAGCCCTCGGTTAATATTTGTGTGTGGATTGAGTTCACAGAGTGAGATGTATTGACCAACTCGATTCCTCTGCCCTCCTGGGCCCTCTGAGGAGGAAAATGCTCTAGAAAGTGGAACGAGAATTGAGCGGATGCTGATCGGGTCTGCCAACCTCCTCAACTGATTCTTAATGATTGACCTTGGGCAAGTCACTCCTTTCGATGCCTCAGTTCCCCATCTGTCAAATGGGGGTGATAATACTGACCTACCTCACAGGGGTGTTGTGAGGCATTGCAAATCAAAGCTGACGAAGTACTTCAGGGTCCTCAGCGGAGGAGGCCTGAGCCGAAGTCTAAGCCTCTCTCTCACCCAGGCTTCCGTCTCCACCGAGTGCGCCTGCACCCACTCGGTGATCTTGGCAAGTTCTCTGCCCCCACCCCTCATCAAAGCTGCTAGTCCATACGTTGACAGTGTTTTCATGAATGTTGGAGTCTTCATAGCCCAGGCTTACTTGGGAAGTTCTTTTGGGGGGGAGGCACTCCCGTGTTTCCATGTCATGCATCCCATCCACAGAGAGGGGCCGGTTCAGACCCCAGCACATCCGATGAGGGAAATGTGGGACAGATGGACTACTGGTTTCTCCTCTGCAGGTTAGGCATTGAGGTGCCACTCTCGGGCCTCAAGCAGACACAGGCGATCTCGGGGAGAGCGGTTCCCACTGGTTTTGATTTGCATCGTGTGGTCACTCCGTGAACTGATGGCAGGAGAACTGGGGTCACTGTACACCTCTCTGTGGTATCTGTACCGAGCCGCTGCCACCTCATAGGAAACCAGCTACTTTTGTGAACGTAACCACCAAACACACACATCCTCCAAAAAGAGCCACCTGAAAGTTGGGTTGCGTTTTTGTTTTTTCTTTCCCCCTAGAAATAAAAGTTAGCACACCGCTTTGGGCATTGGTGACCTTAAGAAATCCCCCAGTCCATTGTATTCAGCATCTGCCATCTCTCTCGATGTCTGAACCTGACCGTTTCTCCCTCTGGTTTCAGAAAACTTTGGACACAATTTCTCTTACTTGTCCAGGTGTGGGCTGAAGAACCTTACTCTTTGGATTGCAGTTCAGAGCCACAGCCAGCTCCTCTTCGCTGTAGGGCTCTTTCTCCTCTTTGGCCCTGGACTTACAGCCCATGGAAAAAGCACAAGGCCCTGCTTGGTCCTTTGCTGCTGTCACATTCCGGTTCTCTCGTTTGTGGACTGCACTCCCGCACCGGCTGTTCTGGACAGGAGGGAGGGCACAGCCCTGCCACTTCCCGCAGGAGGGGCTCGAGCCCCGTGGGGTTGTGCTCTCCCTCCCTCCCATCCAGAGGAGCAAATCATCCTTTGTAGTCACATTTCTAAATGGGAAAACAGGTTCTCTGTGGACTTTTGGTTCGTGGGGGAGCTTAGGTTGTGTCTCTTGGTTTTATTTCAGCCAAACATGTCTGCTTTTGATTTTTTTTAAAGGATAAGTGATATATATATATATATTTGTTCACCTTTTAAATGTTTGAAAGTAGGCATTTATGTATTTCCACAACTGACATCCAATGCAAACCCCAATCTCTACCCCTCCTTCACCTGCCTCTTCCCTCTTTTCATACTCTGTATCAGTTCTAATAAATGGTTGCTTTTCAAATATGGTTCTTGAGTGATAGTTTGAAGATACGTGCTTCACGCCCCTGCTCTCATTTGGGGCCCATAGGTGTTATTCCGTTTCTGGAAGGATTGTCAGCCTTTTATTGCTGCAAATAGCCACAGGGTGGCGCAAGACTCCAGGAGTAAGAAGGACCACATATGTCTCCTTTCACACTCCATGGCCACAAACCAGTTTTGATGGCAGGCCTGCCTGGGTTTCGTGCTCTGCTCCACTCTGGACTCTGAAGAAAGCCAGCATAAGCCTTTAGGGGCCCAGCGGCCCTGGTAAGAGGCCACACCTGGTTTTTACAATTTGTGGGGGAAACCACGTCAACAATCTAAAACCATTTCCACAGTCCCAATGAGTGTATGTAAATATAGCTTGGTTCTGCATTTCCGGTCTGCTTCACAAATGTCAAGGAAACTATTATGAGCGCATCATGTGTTGATACAGAGCAGGAATGTGGAGGGGAGCAGTTGGAAGCCGGATAAGAGGGAAGGAAGTACAGTACATGACTAACCCAGACTTTATTGTGTCATTTAAATCATGTGCGTGGAGTGTGTTGGGCTGTGAGGTCAGGTTCAAACCCACCAGCTACCCCTGTAAAGATCTGCTGTCTTGGGAAGAAAGCCATGAGTTTGGTTGTTAACATGCGCAATGCAGCCCTGAATCGGGAAGAGCAGAGACTGCCGCAGAAGCATGAGAAGGAAGGGTAATGGAGGCATCCCAGAACACAGCCGCCACCCCCCCTCGCTTTGCAGCATCTCCTATCTGCAATTCTTCCCGCTGTCCCTGCTTGCTGCTGAGTTATAGGAGTGCCTCTGTCTGATCTCGTAAAGTCTATGAAGACATCTGTAGGTTGGCTGGCTTAATGGTCCATGACCCCATAAACATGGGACAGGAGAGCCATTTGGCCCACGTCAGAGCCAGACCCTTGTGGACGTTATTTATTCCCTGCCTCGGCATCCTGGCCCTGCTTGTTCCCTTCCCTTTAGATCAGTTTCTAGTTCTTACTGTGCCCGCCTCAGGGTTTCAGCATGCCCATGCACCCCCAACGTCTAGACAACTGGTTCTTGCCTTTTCGCTACCCTCTTGTTAGTTGCAGGCGTCCTGGTGATGCAATGGTTAATCAAAAGCCGGGGTGGTTTAAAACCCTTCCGAGGCTGAAAGACCTGGTGATGTACACCCATAAAAGATGACTGCCTAGGAGCCCCAACAGACTTCTTACTTTGAGGTGGCTGGAATCGGGGATAGGGCCTGACTCGTTCTGTGGTTAGGTCAGGATTTCCTGCTTCTGGCGGGAAATCTCATTTCTTAAAATAATACAACAACATTACATTAAAAGTGGGGACCTTTCTGAGAGGGAGGGAGGGGCCAGGAAAGAAATGCCCTTGGTCACACCATCCCTGCTTAGGGCAAACAGCCTTGGCCTAAAGATGACACTCGGAATAAAGTGGCTATTACCACCCCCACCCCCACTCCCCCCAAAAAACAACAATGACTGCCTAGGAAGGCCCATGGGGCAGAGCACTGCTATTCTGCCCTGTAGGACTGCAGGGAGTCAGGATTCATGCTGGACGCCCAACTACCACCCTGGTGTTTGGGGGCTGTGCCTGAACGGCGCTCATTCAGATGACTCATCTCACTCATTTACGTCCTCTCCCAGGAATCTTCCCTCGCAGCCCTCTGAGGATGGCCAGGCCTGGGCAGTGTGGCCGCCTCTTTTGTCTGCACTGGCTGGCTGCAAGAGCTAGCAAAATCAATGCAGTACTCACGGCAGCCTGGGGGAAATGGAGGACTGCTTAGATGCAGGCGGACTGAGCCCAGGGCTCTAAACTGCCTTGTTAGGAGTCGGCAGCCCCCAGGCAGCCTGCCCTTGGAAGGGAGTGGAAGCAGGCGCTGAGAGCTAGGGTTGGTAGACGTGAGCCCTTTACGGCCTGTGGACCCGCGCCAAGCTGCTGCCCAAGCCTTGAGAACAAGCGCGTGCGTGCGTGCGTGCGTGCGTGTGTGTGTGTGTGTGTGATTGGCCAACAGGCAAAGGTGAGCCAACTATTGTGGGTCGCTTGTGCATAGGTACACGGACTCACTCAAGCAGTGATTCAGCGAGTGTAAGAAAAGCCAGCGCTGTATGAAGTCAGAAGCAGGTTAGGGAAGGTTTCCACTCCTTGGTGTCTCTCCCCAGCCTCAATCGCCTCGCTTTCACCCATCCCCCTGCACCTGTGAGCTCCTGCGTCCCAGGGGCTACCTCTCAGTTCTTTCAGCTTCTCTGTGCATCTGTCCGTTTTGTTTTGCTTTGCTCACGTTTTCTCCTCTTTCTTTGTGTCCCCCTTCCTTCCTGCTCTCCCACTGGCTCCTGGGGCAGGAAGCCGATAGGGCTGGAGGCATTGGCCAAAGCTGGGACAGCTTGTGAACTACATCTGCAGCAAGTGGGGCAGGGCAGGAGGAGCTGCTCATCTGGGGCCCTTGCCTGTGTCCAGTACGGATGAAGCAGTCCATTCTTACATGCATTTCCCCATAGGCAGCACCTCTGGCAGCGTGCCTCTCCATTGGCTTCCCACCACATAACCCACACCCCACTATAATCCCTTTTTCCAAGGATTTCTGGCTGGGGTCAGGAGAGCAGAGTTCAGCTCCCAGAGATTGGTGTCAGACTGGGCTCCTTTGTCCTCTGCCACACGGCCCTGCTGTAGTTCCTGGCTGGGCGTCTGGCCGGTCTGCTCATGGGGTTGAGAAGTAAGGAGAATGGAGCAGCCTTGGGCTCCCAGAGGCCCGCAGGGCTGCAGCGCCTGCCGCTCTCAGATGGAGCAACCCTTCCTGGCTTCTGGACTGGTGTTTTCTTTCTCTCTCCACTCCCTGTCGTTCGCCCTCCTTCTCAGTTACTGTTGTCCCTTTGGATCTTTTCGCTTTTCCTGTTTTCCTTGACTCTCGTGCTCATGTTTCCAGGGATAGGGACCTGATAAGCAGGCTGGCGGGGAGGTGTTGAGGAAAGGAAAGGGGACACATACGGCTTTTCCTCTTGCTCTTTGCAGCTCTGGAGGAGGGAAAAATGGTCTTCACTCACAGCGGTCCTGATTCCCTGGAATCTCAAATGGATTCTTAACGTGTGTGTTGTGGGTGTGTGTGTGTTGGGGGGGGCGCGTTCAGTAACTTTGTTTTCTTTGTGGTATATTTCTGTTAAAATTAAGAGCTCAAAAAAAATTTTTTTTAAGCTCAATGTTGGGAACTTTGTAGACGTTCCTGGGGTAATTGGAGCCATCTGAAGTGTTGCAACAAATCCAGGTAATAGACTCTTATTTCTGTATGACTGTTTCTCTCCCTTTCAGCATTAAAATGGTAACTTCTTTCTTGGGGTGGGGGGGTCTCATTGCCCCGTTTATGATCCTGAGGGACCAGGGGACAGGCAGGCACCACTTTCCAGATAACCTCCCACATCCCTGAGCAGAGGAAACAACAGCGCACAGACCAGATCTTTGCTCCTGCCCTCGCGCTTCCACTGGAAGCAGAGAAGAGGGTTTCTGGTTCGGCTTAAGGAGCTGGGTCAGCGATGGCTGGAACCAAGCTGCAAGTCTAGAGGAGGGAACAGGGCAAGAGGTACAAGTCTGCTCTTGTGAAAAACTGGGAAATTCAGGAATGAAATAAGGAAGCATGGAAGATAAGAAACTGGGGGGGGGGTTGGAGAAAAGAAACCCCCAGATGGTGTGTGCAGAGGACACGTGTGCGCCAAAACACAGATGTGAGGGATGTGGAAGCTCTGACAAGGACAGGTGAGGCCCTCTGAGAGTCTTAAAAGCCAGATGGCCGAGCTGCATTTCTGACGCGCTCTGGGCAATGGATCAAAGCGTCCGTCCTCGTGTTCTCGGAGCAGTCCTCGCCTGGGCTGGATGGCTTCCCTCCAACCTACACCGCTCGGACGGTTGCCGGAGCCATCCTGGGTGACTGCACTGTGCACTCAAGCATGAGGAGCTTGACTCCCAATGTTTCTCTCTTCAGTCTCCAGTTCTGCTCCTGGGGGTCCCAAGGGAGGTGGGCAGGACAGGTCTTGGCAGCCGGTAATGATGCCCTCCGGCACCTGAGAGTGGTCTCAGAATAGTTGACTCTCAGAGTAGTGGCTGCTTTCTCCCAAGATGAGGGAGCAAATGGCTCCCACTTCCCAAGGGAACGGCAGAGCTATGAGTGCATGAGAGAGGAATGTGTTACTGTAAACGTCACTCTCCATACCGTTGTGCTCATTTGAATATATTAAACTCCATTGAGTCCAAGTTGAATCTCTGATGGAAGGGAAGCTGTGTTAGTTGGTAGACTAGAGAAACAATTCAAGGGACATTCATATGTGTATAAGAGCTTTATATCAATGAGTAATTGTATATTGAGAAAACATCCCAGTCCAGATCAAGTCCCTAAGTCTGATATTAGCCCATATGTCATATCCAATACCAGCCTACAAGTTCCTTCCCAGACTCATGCAACACATGAACGCAGAATGCAGGAAGATCACAGGCCAGTGGGTGGAAAGCTTTGTGGATCCAGTGAGGGTAGAAGCATCTCAGCACTGGCTTGGGTCTCCATGTGGCTCCTCTACTTCCAGGGCTCTGGCTCTATCAGTGTAGCTCTGTGTTTTGTCATCAGGAATGTCAAACCAGGGAGTGTGTGTGGGTCTGGTCTCCAGTGAGCTATGTGTCTCCGTGGCTCCAAATGAGGCCATCAAGCTGTGACCTGATTTACAGGCTAGACTCCCCACCCCCCTTCCCAATTTGATCGCTTACGTAACTGCCACAGAAGCTATGGCTTAGATGATCCCAAAAGTAACTGAAAGGTGCTTTGGGTCCCTCACCATCACTCCCCAGCCTAAACACCACCGATGGACCTGGATTAGCATTAGAGGAAATATTCCCTAAGCACATGCTAGTAAAAGATGCAAGAGGGATAGAAGGGAGTGGAGCCAGCAGGCCCAGAGTGGGACTTAGCTATGCCTGGTCCACCAGTGAGGCTATTGGAGCACCGATC